TGAATCGAAAAGAAAAAAAGTAAAGGTCAGTTTTGTGAGAATGATGATGATGACCATTAAAGATGATACGGCAAAGTCTCTTTCTCGTTTCCATCCTCCTCCTCCTCCTTCATCATCATCAATTTCGTTTTCTCTCTTTCAAAAACTTTTCGATACTTTTACTCCCTGAGACTTTTACTATCTCTCTCTCTCTCTCTCTCTCTCTCTCTCTCTCTCTCTCTCTCTCTCTCTTTGAGTCTCCTGTTGTTTTATACTGAAAAAAAAACTTGACCAGACACTTTCATCACTTTATCATTTACTATTGACCATTGGTGAGCTTGAGATGACCAGGCGATTCCTGAAAATAATAACTATCAAACTGTATGTGATATTGGAGGATGAGGAAGAGGAGGAGGATGAGGAGGAGGTGTAGGTGGAGGAAGATGCAATGAAAAAAAGTGAAAGGAATCAAAGATATAAAAAAATTTTGTATTGTCCTTTTACACCAGAAACTGGTCACTTTTATGATCTGGTCATCATCATCATTTTGATGAATTAAAGTGCTGAGTGAAGCTAAAAACAAAGTGATATCCAAACTGCTGCAACTGATGATGATGAGGATAAAGATTATGTATTAGGAGCATCTTTCCTGTTTCTCAAGATACTTTGTTTGTTCAAAGTTAATTTATGGATGAAAACTAAAGGTGATAAACTTGCAAGAGAGGGATGAGGACGCGAGAGAGAGAGAGAGAGAGAGCAAAAAATGGTTCATGGTGAGAGAGTAGGAGGAGGAAAATGTATCATAAAAAGAAAGGTTATCACGCAAGTTTCAAATTCTTGGAGGTAAAAAAAGTTCCATGGTGCAAATATTGAATTTCAACTTATTTTTCATATATAATATGTTGAAAACTCTGTTACATGATATCAATGATTAGCTGAGATGATTAATATTATCGTATGAATTTTCAATTTAATTTAATTTACTTGTTAAGTTGAGAGACATTTACTTATAACTCTTGTTGATTAGTTTTGCTGCACTTTAGATTCTGGTCAGTATTTTATGTTCATTTATTTAGCCATTGGTCAGTTAGGGTCAGTTTTTAAAACTTTATCGATCTTCTTTTCTATTACTTCATTTTCTTCATGTCAAGTTTCAATTGAGTTTGCGAAATTGTTTCAAACTCCTCCTATCACTTCACTTCCTCCTCCTTATTTCATCCTCATCATTGTCCATTTCCACTTCCACCTTGAGCCTTTATTTTTATTTTTAAATTATCATCTTAAATCAACAACAACAACAAATGGCTCATTTAATTTAATTGCTTCTCACAATTCCAATCATCATCATCATCATTTACAATCCTAATTTAATCTTGACCATCATTAAATGATATCCATCCATTGGATTATCAATATTATTTTTATGAATTAAGGAAACGGAATTGATGAGGAAATATCTTTAAATGATTTCCGGTTTTGTGTTTATTGTCTTGAAAATATCGAAACAGAAAAAAAAATATAATATCAACCACAAGTGAAGAGGAAATGGAAAGATGAAGATGAAGATGATTAAGATAAGGGATGGAGATGAGAGGAGAAAATTGAAACTGACCTTTGTCCAGTTCCATTGAAAGTAACTTCAAGTTATCACGTAATCGAAACAAAAAATGAGCAAAAATCAACTTTTCCAAAATGTTTTAATGGTCATTCCAACTCAGGTATTGGTCGTGATCGATTTCATTGGTTTAATGGTCATTCTGATGACCATGAAAAACAAAAAGATGATTAAACTTTTATGAAGAATTTTTTTTTCATTTCGATTGCTATTTGAATCTCATGTTTAGTTTTTGTTATCAACATAATCGTTGATTGTTATTATCAAATAAGATGAAAATTATTACAGGTAATCACGTTATTCAAGAATCATCATCATGAACAAAGTTTTGGGATGAAAACACCTTTGATCATCCATGATGAAGATGATAAGTAAAAAAAAAGTTATTCATCTTGAGATTGTTAGATTGTAAATCCATTACTAATGTGAAACTTTTTTTCATGATGAATTTCAATCTGATTCAGATTCAATATCATGCTTATTTAATCATCACCACAATTCACTCAGTTCTCTTATCTTCTGTAGTGATAAATGATGTTGGTTAAAGATTTGGAATCAAATGTGAATGAGAAGTGATGTTTTTTTTTTGGAGAATCTTTTTGGTTTAAGAAAGAGAAGATGAGAGAGCGAGAGAGATGAATGAAATGAACACGCATCATGAATGAAGAGAAAAAGTCTTGACTCATTTTCGTCTATTTTTGACCAAGGATAAAAATACCTTTATCATCATCCGTTTGTGATGAGGAGGATGAATAAGCTGATGAAAAATAGAAAGCAAGATGATGATAATACTTTATCATCATTGAAATTGTTGATTCAAGACTCTCTCAGTCATCTTCCTTCCTCTTCATCACCTACCCCACCCTTGCCTTCATCATCTCTCACCCCATAAAATTTAATGCAATTGAGTTTCCATAATGATAACCTTTTTTCAATCCCCTTAAAGGAAAATTTCCCCTCCATTCACAAATGTCCAGTCACGTCTTCCTCCCACTCACCGGTCTCTCTCTCTCTCTCTCTCATTATCATCTTCAGCTTCAGCTTACCAATAATGTATCACAAATTTTACACACATTGAAAAACAAACTTTGATGTGACAATAATAAAATAATAATGATAAAGAAAGAGAAGAAAAAATTTTATATCCAAAGAAAAAGTCATCAATTTTCATCTTCATCTGGATCTTTATCATCCTCATCCTCATCCTCCATCTTCATCTTCATCTCCATCTTCATCCACCCTCACTTTCATCCTCCTCCTTTTAACATTTTTACAGAAGCTTCAACTCTCTTCAATAATTCACAATGTTACCAGTTTTTAATACATAAGATTATAAAACCAAGCAGCCTCCCTGTACAATCAGCCCTCACCCTAATCATCCTTATCATCCAAAAAAACTCCCCCACATTTGAATCTCCCAATTACTTTCCCACTCTAAGTAACCCAAACAACAACAATGATAAAATAATAATAATATCACCCTAATGATTACGATGATAAAACTGTAAAACATAACAGCTCCCACAAGTCTCTCTCCCTTTTATCTTCACTCATCATCATTTTTATAACTGTAAATTTTATAGGTTTAACTATAAACAATCAATTTTGATTTGCTTTTGAAAACAAGTTTTAGAGTTTTTTTTCAATGAAACTTTTCATTATTCATTCATATAGACAAATGATTCAGTTGAAAGGATATTACAACATGAAATAGTGGGTAGTAACTTGGGGAATCTCATCATGATGAAAAGGAGTTTCTCTCTCTCTCTCTCTCTCTCTCTCTCTCATTCTCATTTTAAATCATTTAATTCTGAATCAATGATGATCAAAGATAATGATTGTATTCAGGAAATAAATATAAGAGCAGAAAAAATGAAAAAAAAAATTCGATAGAAAAACAAAGTTAACCTTATCCATTGAATAGTAATAATAGGTTACATGGTGATGATCATCTTCCTTTGAATTCACTCATTCATTGAAAACAGATGAAGATGATAATGATGAGAAAGTAACAATTGAATTGTATTCAAATTACATGTTTGCATCATAATCATCATAATGATGATAATGGTTTAAAAAACAATCGATGGACACACAATAGCCACACAGAGCAAAAGAGAGAGAGAGAGAGAGAGTTGGAAACAATTGATTAATTGTGTAATTATAATTGTAATCATTTCCAATTTTGGTTAACTTTTAGTTTTCTTTGAAAAAAACAAAATAATCAAATTGCAACAAAAAAAACTCCTAATTGCAATTAGACAATCATGATTAGCATATATCTTTGTGTAATAATCATAATGATACCATGATGATGCTGGTAATGATTAATTAATTGAATTAAATTGTTTTCATCTGGTTCATGAATGTTTAGAGTTGTTGTTTTGTTTTGTCTTCTTGTGCTGGACATATGAAAGTGGGAGGTAAGAGGAGGAGGAGGAGGAGGAATTAGATGTTGATCATATAATGACCTGTAAGGCTTGGTCATTAATCGATCAAGGCCAAGGTTATTAAGTATACTAATGGTCATCTTTCAATCAGAATCAACAGTGAATAAAAAAAGAAAGAAAGAAAAAAAAAAGAAAGACAGATCAAGCTGATGACCACTGGTCTTTGACCTACTTATAATTGTCATGAATGCAACAAGGTATTAGACTGATTCCTTCATCATCTTCATCATCTACTCTTACATTAAGTTGATACAAAGTACAAAATCTTAGTTTATCATGTAGATATTAATAACATTTATTGAAAATTATTCTTTAAAAATTTTGGTTCAAAGTTTTTCCAATTTTGAAAAATATCTTGATAATGATGAAAGTTTTATAGTCTAAAAGTATCACTATCATCATGTTTCAGGATGATGAGATGATGATACTGGATGATGTAATATGAAATTGGTTGGAAGATGCTGTAAATTGGATGAGCAATAGTTGAAAAAAATACTCACTTTTTTTACAGTTCATGGAGATGAGGATAAAGAGGATAAGGGATGAAAAAAAGATGCGGATCAAGATGATGATGATACATCAAATTAAATCTCTTGGGAGATTAAGTCTATTTCTAGTTGTTTTATTTTTCTACTTTTTCGAGTTTGTTTTTCAATAATAATAAACATGAAACTAAAATCATCTCCATCCTCATCATAATCATCATCATCATCATCATAATGGACTGGTCAATGTTTACTTTAAGGATTTTGAATTGATGTTGATTTAATCAAAATTTCAACTAGAAAAATAAGTTGATTCAATTGATGACCACTGGCTAAAATCAATACCATTTGATTTAATATCAACATCAATCAATTGAATATTTAGCAAATCGACTGATTAGTTGATTGTAGTTTCCTTTAGTTGGAATCATGTTACATGAGCTGTTAATTGTTGATTGAATGGTCACTTACCTGATGGACAAATACATCAGGTCCTCCATCGTTTGGTGTTATGAATCCCCAGCCTTTGGCCACGTTGAACCATTTACAACGACCTCTACGACGACCGGTCAAGGCGGTCACCTGATCAGGTTCACCTTGAGTGATGACAATCAAAAGCAAATTTAATTAGCACGATAAGTTGACTTTCAATCCCAAATGATGAATAACATGAAATCAATTGATAACTTTACTTGAACAATTAATACAAAACTAACAATATAGTTAAACTTTTGTTGAGACAATTTAATCAAATTAAACAATTAATTGCTTATTGTTGACTGATTACTTACTAATTACTCCTCTAATTATGATAATTGAATGGCCAATTAGATCTTGAAGTTTATCAAAATTAACAAGTTTGCACTTTAATATATTAACCGTTTTAACAACTTTCTCCCCGTTCATCTTGCCAACCATGGACATGATTAGTTAATTGCTCAAGTTATTTAGATTCCCGGCCAAGGAAACGAAACAATTTACACAATTAACTTTAAACTGGTTGATTTATCTTTTCACTTCTCTTAAAGTCACAATTAAACTGAAATGAAAACGATCAAAATCAAAGTTGAACGAAACGTTAATCTATTGTCTTTAACACTCACATTAAGAATACGATACTTTCAATGATGACAATTTGTTTTCTCTGATGATGAAAACTGACCAGTAGAAACTCTGGACAATAATCTAACTCTATGTTAAAGTGATATTTCAATTCTTCTTCTCTTTTCTATCTACTTTTTTTTTCTTCAAACTTTTTCTATTTTTTACTCTCTCTCTCTCTCTCTCTCTCTCTCAGTTATCTTCCTCTCCCACTTCCTATCTTCCGCTTTCTCTCTCAACCTCCCCTCCCTCAGATGCGTAAACTATTTCGCTTTTGAATGAAAACCACGCCTAAATCAAAAATCCCCCTAAAGATATTTTTTTCCTCGAAATAATTTCTCGAGCATGACTTATACACCTCTATTGTTTATTGATTAACTTTTAATCAACAATAATTTTCAATCATTCTAATTAACTTTTTTCTTCACAATTCCAATCAATTTTGACCGATAATTATTGCCGACTCATTTTCCCCTTGACCATCATCATCAAATTACTCTTTCATTGTTTCAACAGCTTAATCTGAGAATGAGCTTATTAGTATATTATAGTTGGTTCGGATTAGTTTAGTTATTTACAATCAAATTAAATTGATTGTTAAAAATTTGACATTTTCGATAATTGGATAAAGTGTCGCCATCTATTGATATGGAACAATTTTATCAGAAAAGTTATCTTTTGATTTCGATATTTAAACTTTATTATCGAGGTCATTTCGAGCATTTAAAGTTATAACTTATCGGTTTTTGGATAAAATTAAGTTTGATTGGTTATAAGGACAAGGATTGAGTTTCGATGATAATTTCTCAGGTAGATATCAACTTTTCCTCTCAAAATTGGATATAAATTTAAGCGATTTTTTTGTATTAATAAATAGTAAATTAATTAACTTGTTGGTTCAATTTTGATTAGTTGATATTTTAAGTCTAATCAATGTAATTAGTGGATTAACAGCTGATTTAGATAAATAAAAATCTAACATCGTAATGAATGATATTCGTGTTGCCATCTACCAGATGAGCTTTGAATCTTGACCAATGGTCACTCTGCTATTAGAATTGTTTACACCAGAAAATAATAGTGAAATTTATAATTGATGGAAGTGGCTAATTACTGGTGGTTAATTAGTTACTTTTGATCATCTAAAATTTTTCTTTTCTAATTGTTAATTAATGAAAATAAAACTTTGTCTTCGAATGTTGAATTTTTTAATTCATCATTTCTGATAACTGATTCTCACTCAATAGATGGCGACTCTTCAATCAATCAGATGAAATTGTCAATTAATTTAATGAATACAAATGAAGTAAAATTTAAATACCTCAAAAAAAATATGAAATCATTAAATTGATTACCGTTAGAAGTGTAAAAATCAAGTTAATTAGCAAACAATTGTCATGTAAATGATATTAAAATGCTAAAAGGTTAACAAACTTGAAGGTGAAAAAATGATCTTAAAGATAATCATTAGTTTAACGATTTTACCATGAAAACAAATCAATTAATTAATTAATAGCTGTAAAAGTAAATCACTAGCAAATTGATGATTGAATTGGAACATAATTAAAAGTAAATAATCACCAAGAACAATATCAAAAACCAATCAATAAATAAGCTAATAAGAAGTAACCAATTTCCATATTTTCATGAAATATGAATCAATGAAAACCAAACAAACTGATTAAAACCAACAGAATCAAATCAGTTAATCAAATCAATCAAATTAAAAAGCAATAGCAAGTAAGTTGTAACTTACCTTGAGCAATTACAATGACCATAATTAAAAACAATTAAAATTGAATGAGCACAATTAAAACACAAAAACCAACACAAAGATGAAACTTGAATTAATCCAAAGGTGAAAAGCAAAAACAATCAGTACAATGAGGACACAACAATTAACCAGAAAAAAAATGATGATAAGATAATAAGATGATGAAAAACCAGAATGATAAAGGTGATAAAAGTATAAGACTAAGTGAAGATGATGATGATGATAATGATGACGACAAAGTAACTGAGATGATAAAAAGTAATAGCAAGTATTAAGATGATGATTGGAAGCACAATTAAAAAAAAAAGACAATTACAATTGATGAATGAAAATTTCTCCCTACGATTATATTATATTTTCATCCAATTTTCAGTTGTGATTATTATTTCATTTGATATGAACCAATATCATTTAAATTTACATCAATTGACTCCACCTTATTTGACGTGTTTATCAAATCACGTGATGCGTTTCCAGCATTATTATATATTATGACGACTCCACCCCTTCCTATATATTTTTTTCATCTTCATCTTCATTGAGCCTTTTTTTAGCTTCTCCACCGCCACCACCACCTCCCACCATCACTCCACCATCTCTTCAGCCTCCTCCTTTTATCCTCCTCTCTCTCTTGCTTCATCTTTATCAACATCGATTCGACTCCGCTGATAAATTAAAACCATTCATATAATAATAATATTTAACAATCTACAATTAAAATGATTAACATGAGCCAAATTTAATCCACTCATTAACAATTAAAGTCTATCACATTTAATTAGTTCAATTGTATTGTCAACAATTTGCTCAATCAGATTGTTCATCATCAGCATCATGAAAATGTTTATCATCAATACTTACTGATTACATATTATGATCATCTTTATGTTGATACTTTTGATTAATTGTGATTAAGACATATTAGATTTAAATTGAGTCATTTAAATCACAACAACATAATCAATAACATTTGATTATCATTTTAATGAAGACTAATCATCTTAATGATGATAGTGAAAGTCTATTGAGCTTCATTTTGTATATTGTGAGAGATTTTATTTGTATTATTATTTAGTTTTTTTTTGCTTCTTTTTTTTGTGAATCAAATTACGATAATCAATCATAAACAAATGTCCAATGTCCATTTCGAACCAGTTTGTTTACACTTTTCGAGGGACTTTTCTTGGAGGAGGATGAAGATGAAGATGAAGATGATGATAATGATAATGATGCAAAGAGTGAACTGAATTTAAGTTTAATGGATTCAATTGTTGTTGTTGTTGTTGTTGATTTTTTCACAATCAAATGTAATTCAATCCCTTTAACATTAATCTCATATCAATTATGTTCAATTCAATGTCAGGATTAAAATTGCTCTTTGATTGATAATCTTGGGACAATCTCTCAGGTATACTTACCTTTGAGATTAGGATGAAGGAGGATGACGAGGAGGTGGAAGTGGAGGAGGATGTGTGTAGGTGGGTGGGTGAGTGGGTGGATAATATCATTATCATTATGTCAACATTATTATTTAATTGTTACTTAATTTAATTTGTTTCATTCATTTTCATTTACATGTTTGATAACTGAAAATTTTACACGAAACTATTGACACAGTTTCATTACCTGTTGTTTGATTTAATTGTATGTTCCATTGTTATTAACTTAATTATTTGGCTATTTCGATTCTAAAGATAATGATAACTTGTTATTATTATCGTTAATTGATGTTATTATATTTACAGAAATTGCTACTTCTCTCTGGTTGATTGACATTAACCTCGAATTGGTTTCCATGGTAATTCTTGGTTTCTCTTTCAGAATTGAACTATAATAATGGTCTAACCAGTTCTCAGGATTCTGGTCAAGATTTGCAGACTAAATTTCAGGTGAAGAAACTGAAAAATTACTACTAATCATCAATGACCATAAGTCGATTATGATTATAACTAATTGACTACAGGAAAAAAGTCGAAAAAATAACAACTCGAATCACGTAAATCGATAAACTTTCCTATGCTCGTGCTTCCAGAACTCAGATCATTTCATCATATCGATTTATCATGATTATAGGTTAGGATAATATAACATTTTTTTAGCTTCCATCATCACCATCATCATAAATATAACGGTAAAAAAGTAGCATCAATAATGATAATGATGATATTGTAGATTTATCTTTGATTATTATCATGTTATCATCTTGGATATTTGTTTACAGCAATTTAACTGTAATCAATTTTTTTTACTTCTATTGAAAACTTAATTTAATACAAATTTACACAGATTAATTTGGTAAATTGTTGTTATCTAATTGTAATCAAGATGAAACTTATTATTTGCATTGTGTAACAAATAATCATCATGATGATAATGAAAATCAAACTTAGATTTTCATCAAATCGCAAGCCAAGAGTTTCAATTTTTTGTTGATTATGATGATGATGATGACAATTGATGACGATTATTATGATGAAAAACAGTTAACAATCAAGATAAATAATACAAAAAGTGGGTGAAAATGTTTAATTGTAAACAAACTTAAGCCTCCTTCAATTTCCATAGGTTTTTCAATCTCGTTTCCTTTTAGACTTTTTTTTACATTGAATTTATTTCCTTTGGCAATTGTTGTTGTTGTTGCATATTGAAGGCGCGAGCCCAAGATGCGAGGGTGGGGATGGTGGAGATGAGGTTTTATCCCTGTCAACAACAACAACAACAACAACAATTACTTTTCAGTCTCGTGACCATTCAGTCAGTTTTTTTATTATTCCAATTTCTCTCTCTCTCTCTCTCTTTCTGTTCATCAAAATGACGGACTGACTGACCAACTCCCACAATCTCCTTTCTCTCTCGTTCTCTCTCCCCTTCTCTTGATGAATATTATTTTATCTTCTGGTTCTATCATCATAATATCTTCTGGTCAGCAAACTCTTTCTCCATCATCACAACCCAAACTTTTCTCTTCTCTTTCTCCTCTCCATCCTCATCCTTTTTTCCTCTTTCTCTCTCTTGTTACTCATCTCTTCTTTTTTTTCAATTCATCTTCATCAATTTATCTTCATCTTTCATCTTTATCCTTTGTTTACTAGTTGAAATTCTCATTTAGAATCAGAGTACAGTTTTTTTTGCTTCTTTTCGTCGATTTGCTCTCCATCTCTTTCTTGTTTCTCTTCCATTATATTCATCATCTTCTTTTAGTCATCATATCACCTCTTTCTCTTCCTGGTTCTCTTTTCATCTCAATCTATTCTCTTGCTTATCAAGATGCAACCAGCTTTTCCTCCTTCCTCCTATTCCACCCTCTCCTCATCCTCCTCCTTCTCCAACAGAGCAAACTCAATTATCATCTTGATCAATTAATCCCTTAAGATTATCTTTATCTTCATTAACCCAAATCATCTCATTGTTTCAATCTTCATCCAACAATCTAAACAATAATAATAACCTTCAGAGATAATAAACAAGTAGATGAAAATATCAATTCATATTTTGATATCAGAAAGTAGATCGATAACAAATTTAGATGATGGAGGAAGATGAAGATGAAAAGATGATCATTTCATCAGCATCATCTCTATGAAATCGAGATACAGAAAAAATCATCTCAAAGATAAAGAAGCAAAGGTAACTGAATGGAAGAGAAAAAATCGATCATCCTTCTCATCTTCATCAAATTCACTTCTAATGTAACCAAATGTAATTCACTTCTTCCTCCAATAAAACCCACTCCCACTCTTTTCCTCTCTCAATCTCTCCCTTGATTCCTGTAGTCTCACTTTCCTCCAGTGTACAAAAAGATATTCAAATCAATAAGAATAACACAAATCTCGTTATTCACAATTAACTAAATCATTAATTAACCTAAAAAGTAGCACAATCAAACAATTAAAAAGCAAGTTAATGTTAACAAAACCAAATTAAATATAAATCACATTTAATCATGATTTATGTCTAATCGTAGCATAAATTATGCTTATAATCATAAAGACAACAATTACAAAAAAACTAATTTCTTTTGATATAAATGAGATCAGATTAAAAGGTAAAAGCATAAAATTTCATCTTGAAAAGCATAACTAAATTCAAGACTTTCCCCTCCCCCACCGCATCATTTCCTTATCCTCCTTCTCCTCATCATCCTTATTATCATCATCTTCAATGAATGAACATGAATCCATACTATTATCATTATAAGAGGCGTGTAGCTAATGTCACGAAGTCTACGTCAACTTTTTTATCAACCTTTTCCCCTCCTACAACAACAATAACAACAACCACCTACACCTCATCCCCTCTCTCTCTCTCTCTCTCTCTCTCTCACCTCTTCATCTTATCTCTTTCACCATCTCATTCACGTCTTCTTATCCCTCTTTACTTATTGTTATTTACCATTGTTACGAATGACTATTCAATTTCATCGAAGCCTCTTAAATGTCCTAAGTCCGCCGCACGAGCGTCCGTTTCAACGTGCTTACACTTTTATAAAGTTTTCAAAAATTGTCCATTATTGTTATTATATGATGATCATCATTATTATTGATTCTCATTGTTGGAAATGTTTCTTAAGGCAAGAAGCTAAAACCTCAGTCCAACCCTCATAACGGTTCACATTTTATTCATCTAATTTGCGTTGATAACAATTTGACACAATTTACTTTCATCTCCCCCCATTTGATTGTTATCAATTCAACCTTTCATCATTAACATCAATTGATTGTAAACGCGTAACAAAAAAAATTAACTTAATCAACACGATTAACAATTCAAAGTGCCCAAATCAAATGTGAAATCATTTAAATTGTTGAGAAATTTTCTTCTTTTACTCTTCCTCCCATCTGATTAAAAGTAAACACTATTAACGATATTAAGATAATGATGAATGACCAACACTGACCATTAATTAACTAATCACTGAAAGAAAAAACCATCAAACCAAGAAAAAAAAAGAGTAAAATCTCATTAATTAATCTAGTGAATCTAATTTATCATTGACATTTTTTTTTCGCCATCTTGTTTCACTATGATTGTCAATTGATGGACAATCAAACTGACCAAGAAGAAGAAGATAAATCAAAATGGAGATTCTAAAAGAAAGAGTAAACTGTATTCACTTTCATTCATCTTTCTTTCATCATCTTCATCATCTTTATCTTCATGATTCTGAGCATATACTCATTAGAATGGAAAACAAAAAGTAAATTAATTTCACTTAATTTGGATCAATATTTTTGGGTCAAATCAAATTGGATTGGATAATAATTGAAATAATGATAATAATATAGGTCACCCTACAATTTTTTTATCATTACATCACAATATATATTATTATATAGGTATTATCAACCTATAGGCAATGGTCATCGTTTCAATGGTCATTTTATTTTCACCTAAAAGTTTCCACATCTCAGTTTAGGCAAAGTTACAACTCCATTGACATCAACAGATAATTTGAGTTAATGATTATAATTGTTGATCTAATTTTTAATATTCCAATGTTATTATGAGTTAATCATCCAAAGTTCAACTACCATGGTGATTAATTCACAATCACAATCATCGGAGTTTCATCACTGGAATTGATTGTTTCAATCAACTAGCTGAGTGGACTCATGATCATGTTCATTATTGTGATTAACTGTTTTCTGTTTGTGTGTTTGGTTTAATTGTTGTCTTGCTGATTAACAATTTTATAAAACGTGATTACATTCAAAGTGATTGACAATAAAATGTTGATTGTTTTAAATGTCAAATTAAAATGAGATTGTTATTATTGTGATGATTGATTGGTGTTGGATAATATCAATGGTTAATTTTAATCATCTTCTTTGTGATTTTTGTCTCGTTTTTGAATCAATGATGAGAAAGACAATTAAAAACAAATGATTTACCAGGAAAGCTAATCAACAGGACACTTAATCATTACTGGAGTTAACTAAAAGTTGATCAAAATGTTTCAAACTGTGCTAATCACTATGACCAATTGTAATCAACAAGCAAACAGAGTTGATTGTTGATCGTAATGATTAGTGTTACCATTAAGATAAATTGGCCTCGAAGTGTCCACCTTTGGTCATCCGTGTTTCGATATGGTCAAAATGTCCCTACGATCTCCTGTCTTCCTGATCATTTACGGAAGATAAATCATCGTCATTATCATCATCATCTTATGTGGGAGGAAGTAATTTAAAAAGAGAGGTCAGTTGAGAAAAGGAAATCAATAGTTTTCCTTGACCATTATAAATGTTTAAAAATTAATTTCATCTCTTTTCATTGTAAACATTTTAAAACCATTCAATCAATTGTTAAGTTAACATCATTTTGTAAATTTGTAACAATTTAAACAAGAAAAATAAATAATCATTAATCATCTAACATATAAATTGTCACAATGTCCAGTGTTGACCATAATTGAGTTTGATTAAGTTATCGCAATCAACACACAATTAAGATGCAAACAAAAAATGATAAGTAATAATAATAATTTTTTTCCAATCAATTTGATTGTATTAATAATAATAAATTTACATTCATCACGCAATTTGCTTTGTTTTTAGTTAATCATTTATTTTTTTGTCTCTTCATTGGTAGCAATCAATTAATCATATTAAATTGCTTCGAGCCTCTGGTTAATTTGATTACATTAGTTTTACATAGATTCATATTTTGAAATCAATAAACATCATAATCATCAATTTATTACAATATTGATGATACAATTTCTTGTGACTTGATAAAAAAAAGGAGCAATAAAGTGACCTAGTAAATGACCTTAAAGGTCAGTAAAAAACATCAACTAGTTACAGGGAGTTTCATTGATGATCACGATGATGATGATGATGATGAAGATAAAGCTAAGGTCATCAAAAGAAGATACTTTATTAGGTGATATGGAGTAGCTTTGTCAGCTCTTTTTTACCATTAGAGAATCAAGAAGACGATGGTCATCATCATCACTGGACAATAAAAGTATAGGGAGGAACAAGTTATATTTATGGGTTATGTCATTTTCCAAGTGTCATTATCTTGTATCGACTTGTATTCATAGATTATAATGTAATATATTATTTTATTTTTGTTCTTGATCAGAGTGAAAGGTTGACCAAGACAAGAGAGAACCCGAAAAATGGGTGCAAAAGGGAGAGGGTCAGCAAAAGATCATTTTGGTTGGAGTGTGTGTCCGAATGGGAGAGAGGGTTCAGTCAATCCCTTTATTTTTCCTTCTCTTTTTTTGTAGAAGAAAAAAAAATGGCTTAAATCGATATTCTAATGATAATGTTGATCATCAAATGGATGTCGATCAATGGTCAGCTTTTTTTTCGCGATGTTCATTCAATGGATTTGTCTTTCTAACGGTTAGTGTTTGTATGGAAAGGGGAAAAAGATATCGCGACTTTGGACTCTTTGGCTCTTTCGATTTTCAGTTATTAGATGAAATGTATTATTATTGTTTCTTTTATTATTATGGAAAAAGGGAAGGATGATAACACTCTTTTCTTCCTCCTCTTCCTGTTTTTCTCTCTCTTTTCTTCCTCGAGGCTGCATCTTTACTCCTTTCTAGTGGTCATCGTCCTCGTCTTTCGACTGATGACCGAAGGTTCAAACTGATGTATCAGTATAATCTGAGGAATTACATTCACTCCCGTTCATTATAAGCTTTAGTAGAGTGAGAGGGAGAGGGAGAGGATGAAAGGGGAATAATGAGAAGATTGAAGGGATATCGAAGTGAATGAGAGAGAAATGGAAAAGAATGGGTTGAGAAAAGGGAGAGTGAGAAAGAGTTTCTACAAAGAGAATGAGAGAGACTGATTGTTTTGAGAGATTGAAAGGTAAAGAGAGAAAGAGAGAGAGAGAGAGAAGTGAGGGAGTGGGAGGAAAGAGTAAGGGATAGTTTCTGTAGTGGACACAACAAACATCTGCCCAACCGTTTCAAGCTGTGAACATTAATAACATTCTTAACCATATACACGATATAATAATGATGAGAGAGTGAGTGAGAGAGAAAGAGACGAGTGAGACTCACGCTTACATCTCACTCTTTGTTGTTGTTGTTGTTGTGTCCAAGTTTTGGATAAAAAGTGAGGTACCGTTAATATGTATTAGGTGAAGGGTAGAAAACATCGAGTTACTTTGGTCAATCTGCAAAGAAAAGCGAGGGAGGAAGATGAAGGGTGAGAGAGAGAGTTGTGTTGACCAAAGAAGATGAAAGGATGAGGAAGATGATGAGTTTTGTTTGTGACTCAACTCGATCCAATGTCGAGTAATTTATTTAATAACATTGATTTGATTCCTTTCCAATGGACGATCAACGGCTGTCGATCAAATAATTTCTGATAGATAATAATGATCATCATCGTCTTCCTATTTATCTTCCTTTTCTCTTCATCATCTATACTTCCTGATAAAAAAGAGCTAAAAAAATTGTCTCTATCCAATGTTGTCCAACCGATCGGTTTAATCGACTCACATTTACTCAAGAATTACTTTAATTCCCTTTCACTTTATTTTCACACAACGAAACAAAAACTGACCAATGGTCATCTTTTTCCCTTTCAGCCCAAAGTGAGACCCCAGGTCAGTTGACAATATTTACAATTGGATAACACCAAGTAATACATAAAGATAAGGTCATTTTTTAGATAAAAAGAGAGAGAGAGAAAAATACTGACCAAATAAAGAGATGAGAAAATGATTAAGATGAAAATGAGTATAGTTGAAGATTCCCTTTAATTGTTGACAATTTTCTTGCATAATGTTTACCATCAATCTTCCAGTGGTCATCATAAACACGGTTTGTGATGGAAAATATTTGCTCCTCATTTTTATGAACCTTTTAGACTTGAGAGGAAAAGGAAATGATGTTGAAAAAAAAAATAAGTTCACAACTTAATGGACTCATGAATTAAGAGTCTTGGTAATCCAGTTACATGAAATTTGATGATCTCTTACTCTAATTGGAGGCTTTAAACTTAATCAAGATCATAATTGATTAGGTGATTTCATGTTTCCATTGATTCATCAGTTAATTGGAATGGAAGAGTTTTAAAAATTTGATCACCAATTGATTTGGTTGTTGTTAAATGTTCAATTAATTGAATCTCTTCCAATGGTGATCCTCCTTTCTTTTCCAGGACAATTATCTTTCCTGATTTAATATCAAACACGGTGGTAATTGAACCGATCGCCAATCGCTCCTCATCACGATTTGGATCAATCAAAATTAAATCATCATCAAGCAGAACTGAGGTAACACTGATTGGATATTTAATTAAGGTTAGATGTCCAAGTTCATCAACTGTTTCCATCTTGGTTTGGATTGGTGGTGATGATGATGAAGGAATTAATTGAGCAATTTGTTCATCGTAAATGTCTTTATAATCAGGAATCTCCAGTGAATTAATGGCTGCCAGAAAAGCGATGATGAAGGCATCGAAAAGATTACCATCATTATTGAGAGAAATCAATTCAATATTCAGAATTAAATATCGCTTTTCACCATCTTCATCTTCGCTAATCAAAGGTTTATGATCGAATAGAACATTTTCTTTTATTGTTTTTATCGCCAAACTGGTAATTTCATCTCGTTCTCCTTCATCCTCATCCAATGCATGTAAAGACACCTTCAGATCAATCAGATCACTATAATTAACGGTCTCTAGTGATTTGACATCTTCATTAATGGTCACCTTTATGCCGCACATTACGGTTGTACTTCCCAATTTGAGAGTAACGGATGAATCAGCTGAAGAAATTGAATCTAAATTAATTAGTAAATCTCGAGTCTCGTTGAATTTTCTTCCATCTATTCTTAGTTTTTGGGAGAAAAAGTGTTCATGGTGAATCTTCAACAATTCCATGGTAAAGTTGTTACAATAATCACCAAACTAAAACAACAATAATCACTGAAATTAAATGGAAACAATCAAAACAAATGAATGAACAGTTTTCAATTTTCAAATTTTACAAATAAAAAAAACGTGTTAACGATCAGCTGTTCAAGGGACTGTTCATAAATAGAAACAAAAAATTAAGATTTTAAATCAACTCGAATTGATTTTGATCATTTCCAATTGTAGTGGTAAATCTTATTGTTGTAATCAACATTTCTCTGATTGTTGGACTTGTGATTAAATCATCACCATGTTCAATATGCTTTAATTCAGTTGATGAGAATAGAATAGCAAATATTCACAATTAATTCACTTTGAAATAAGTTAAGGAAAAGCAAACCAACTGATGTTAATCATTTCACAATTAGTTGACAAAAGTTTGAATTTTCATCAAATATATTTCATATTATAATTCAATTAAAGAAAATTTCTTAAGGTAAATTAGACTGAAATGTAATGCGTAACATTAACAAGCAAATTGATTGTTGGGTTGTCTCAAAATAATCTCAATTCAAAGGTTTGATTTACTTTGAATTAGACAATTTGTTTTCTTAAATTAAATCAGTGTAAAAATTGGAGGACAACATTGGATTAGTAATTTGGTGTTTTAGTTTTCAAATTGGTGTTTCAGAAAATATCCTGGGCAGACAAATTTCCAGAATATAAGAATCATTGAGAGAGAGAGTGTGTGAGAGATTTGATCCAATTAGCTTTTCCTTTTAATGAACAGGTCGAAATTTTCAAAGTCAATTTTCATCAACAATCTAATAATCATCACCTCGACTGACAACCTCTTTACAAGTTGGCCTTAAAATGATCGTATGTTCAAATTGGGCAGTATAACTTTTCTTGATATCGAAAAGAGGAGGATACGGAGAGACAATTCCTTTTTGGCATAAATCGTTGAGAGCAAGAAGATATTTACTTTGACCCAACCTGTCCAACCATCGACGACAGAAAGCTAGAGTACCGAAATTTTGATTGATCACATTGAGTAATTGCTTGGATTTAGCTGACCTGAGAAAAATGCAACACAAAATGAACAAGAATATCAATAAATCAATTCACACAAATTGCGAGAAAAATTTGAAACAAACCTTAATGGAACATGACCAACGTCAAAATTTTTCATATAATGAGAACAGTCTTGATCATCATGAACGTAACCTCGACCTGTACTACCAAAAGTCTCAATGGCATAGACTTCACCTTCCTAATTGTAGAAAATAACAATTAAAAATCTAAAGAAAAAAAAAGAAATCAATTTCCTTTTTCCATTACCTCCATTTTTGTTTGATCTCCTCCTTTTACAATTGGAACCGTTTTACCGGCATGAATACGATAAGGTCCAATAGAGTGACCATTCAGATTACGAATTGCTTTAACTAAGAGAAGAGAGAAAAAAAAGATCAACAACAGTTAATTGAAAGATAATTAGAAGACAAAAACAATCTCTTACCAGGATAAGTTTTACCATCAAGTTCAACTTCATATGATTCCATAACTTCTTGAATTTGTTCACCAATATCACATAGACGGACGTCAATTCCAGCAGCTTTGATTCCTGTATTTGTTGATTCACGAACGGCTTCCAATAGTTTATCATATTTATCATTAAAAGTCATAGTGAAGGCACAATCGATGATTCTTCCATTTATATGTGTTCCAAAGTCAATTTTACAAACATCATCATATTCAAATACTGTATTATCACCACCATTTGGGGTATAATGAGCAGCACAATGATTCAATGAGCATCCAGTTGGAAATGCAAGTCCAGCTTCTAAACCCTTTTCGTTGATCAGCTTTCGAGCGATATCTTCTAATGTTTCACTAAATTAGCAGAGGTAAAAGATTGAATAGATTGAATAGATTAGCCAAAAGATATTCTGATCATGAAAGAAACAAATAATGTTACCATATCTCTATCATCTTCATTCCTGGTTTAATAAAGTCTCGCATGTATTTACGGGTTTGTCTATGAGCCTCAGCGGCTTGTCTCAATTCTTTGTACATGTCAATGTTGGCAGAATCTAGAGCCTTCTTTTCAGCATTTGTTGTTCGATCGGATGCTGTGCGACTACATAAAACAGTGAGAAAGATAAAAACAAAGAATTAAAATTGACATCGGACAAAAAAAGAAAAGAAAAAAAAGAGAAATTGGATAACACACTTGTCATTTTCCACTTTGGGATAATCCATTATCTCACCAATGGGATAATCTTCATTAGAAAACAATTGACTGATTGGAATGGAAGGAGGAACAGTTTGTTTAACACCTTTATCTCCACCACCTTCACCTCCTTTTTTGGGTTTATTTTTCTTTTTCTTTTTTTTCTTTACCACTGTTGTTGAATTACTATCACATGGTTCATCTTCAGCAACGTTTAGGTTAACAGATGATAAATCCAAGTTCTCTTCTTGTCCATCAACCGTTTCAATTGTAACATTCTCTTCAGTAACTGTCGCCATTTTTACCTAAAAAAAATCAAAAAAAAAATTAATTCTAAAAGAGAAATTAAATCAAATTCTAAAACAGAAAATTAATAACAAACCTTATTCTTATTCAAGAACCGTTTCTGTTTCGGTTACTCCTTTTACCGCAAACAGAATTTCGATACTATCGAATTCGAATATCGATACAATTGATCATCGATATTCAGTCGATGTTTTCATTTGGAATTGAAAATAAATTTTTCTCAAAACAATTGGATTTAAATTTCTTTTAATTTGATTTGTTGTTTTCGATTTTATTTTCTAATTGTTGATTATTTCTTCATTTTATGATCTGTGCTTTACAATGACCACTGTTACTGATGATAGAATTGTAAATGAATCGGTTGATGGTCAAGAAGTAAATTTGATTCCATCAGCTGTTAATGTGAACGTTGCAGAAAATGAATCATATGGTGATGATTTTCTGTTCTCAGAGACAATTAAGCCTACTGATTATGTTAATTTTGATATTTACCAAGAATTGAAAGATGCTGCTGAAGCTCATAGACAAATTGGTACGAATTCATTTTTGTTAGAACAAAAAATTTTATTCTATTCTTTTGTTTAAATGTTCGTTTTTCTTTTCTCTTTTTTTCTTCATTTTTTTTTCTTTTAGAAAATATTGATCCCAATTTGTCGACATCTTATATTAACAAATTGTGCTCCATTGGTGTCCATTCATTAGAAAGAGAACCAGGTCGACTGTTGGATGAAAAGAATCAACTAGAAGAAACTCTGAAAGAAGAAGCATTTAAAAATTATCATTGCTTCTTGGAGGCTCATCAATGTTCAAAAAACGTCAAAGAAGAAGTTAATTTAATCTAAATTGTAGTTTGTTTATTTACTAATTACTTTTTCTCTCGTTTCATTTTATTACAGGTCGAAGAGATTGAAAATAAATTAGATAAATTTATTGATAGAATTCCATTTTTTCAAGATAAACTAACTGGATTTGCTGACGAAGCCAAAGGCATAACTAAAAGGTAAGAATTAACCTCACTTGGTGATATCTAATTGTCTATTGTTAATTTAATCCTTTTATCTTTGTTAATTAGATGGAGACAAGCATCATTAATGCTTTCCAAATATAGTCAACTAATAGGTTTCCTTGAGATTCCCCAATTAATGGGATCATGTGTACGGAAATGTTATTACGATGAAGCATTACAATTATATTCATACATTCAAAGAATTGATCGCCTACATGGTAAAGAAGCTCCTTTAATCCAGGTAAATGATATTTCCAACTATTGATATATTACAATAATCAATCTATTCTATAGTAAAATATATTATCTTTACTATTCCTTAGACCATATCAAGTGAATTATCTCAATGTAAGGAGTTGATGATTAGCCAATTACTCAAGGAATTGTATGGTGACATTCAATTACCTGTTGCTCTGAAAATTATTGGTTACCTGAGACGAATCAATGTTTACAATGAAACTGAATTAAGAATCAAATTTCTCAATGTGAGTCATATGAATAATAACAAAGAAGACAATCAATTCTAAATGATTAATTTAATTTATTTTTCTACTTTAATTCTGTAGGCTCGAGACTCTTGGTTACAAGGGTTAATTAAAGAGGTTCCAAAATCAAATCCTCTGATTCACATGAGTAAATTGATTGAAATCTATCGAGTTAATCTATTCAACACAGTAACTCAATATAAAGCCTTATTTTCCGATGAACAAGAAGATGAATCGTCATCATCATCATCATTACATTTACCTCAACAAGAATCAAACAATGATCGTGATTTCGGTGATTCGGCCATTTTAGCTAGTTGGTTTAACTATAAGATCGATTCATTTCTTGAGCAACTTAAAGAAACTCTTGATAAATGTTTATCCCCTGAGTATTCATCTCTTTGTCCGATAGATAATCTTTTCGATCCCTGTTTCTATTTTGGTCTATCAATGTCCAGAATTGGAGCAGATTTTAGACCAGATCTTGTGATAATCTTTCAACGGGTCATTCTAATTAAATTTACTCGTTACGTTGAATCAGCTGTAGATCAATTTGAAGCAAATATGGAAAATTTTTCCATCTCTTCTGTTAACACCCTGACAAGTTCAACATCATCCTCATCGTTGACAACAACAGCAACAATCACAACTTCATCTTCTTCAAAGGAAATGGCTCAAAGTGATTATGAACCTCCTTCTGTAATCCTTAATTTCCCTCCATTGGCGTATCTTTGTAATGATCTTATTCAAGCCTTTAATCAAATTCGTAAATTGATTCCTTTGGCTCTAATAATCCAATTTCGTGACATTCTCAATCAATCACTTATCAGAGCAACACAAATCTTAATTAATTACCACAAGTAAGTATTAGTATCACTTGATTCATTTATCATAATATATTTTTCTTTATCTAATTAACTATTAATTTTCAATCTAAATCATTTTTACCCTTTTGTTTAGAACCGAATCAACTAGTATTGGAAAACCTGAATCAGATTTACTCAAGAAAATGATGCAATCATACATAAATCAGTTAATTCCTCACATTCAGAAATGTTTATCAGCAATTGCTCCAGTCCAACAATTAGCTAAACATCTTGGTCTCTCGGTGTTGGAATATAATCGTCTAAAGAAAACTCGAAGTGACCTTTCAATGTCCGATTTAGATATAGAATCCATAAAGCAACCGATTGACCATTTACTCTGATTGAACAATTAACAATCAAAGTGAAGAAAGAAAAACGAAAATCAATTAATTACACTTGAGGATTTCATTTTTTTTATCTGTTAATTATAAATCTTCTTGATATTTAATATAACAACATAATCACCAACAATTAATTTAATTTCCAATCCTAAAACTAATTTGATGGTAACAATTAATGTTACACAATTAGGATTGGAAAATGTTATCATCTCTTGTATTATTTAATATTAAATCATCTCGATTAATATATTAATTGTTGCTCTTCACTCGTCTAATAACAAATCTAAAACTCATCACAATTAGTAAATTATATTTTCTTACTGATGAAACATTTAAATGCACTATGGATTTAAATTCTAGTCTAATTAAATTTCCAAAAATGATGATAATTAAAGAAATGTTAATTGTAAAGGTTAATTAATACTCTTAAAGTGAAACAATTTGTCTAATTTTTTTCCTCTGTATCTCAATCAACGAGTTAATTTGTCAATAAGTCAATTAACTGCTAGAAATCAATTAACTATTTATCAACCATTGATGAAGATTATTATTAATTAATTAATCTAGTGAAACAAAACAGGATAATTAATGTTGAAAATCAATTAAAATTTCTTAGTCACAATTAGCTGATTGTATTAACGATTAACAATGAAATGATTATTTAAAGTTAATTGTTCATGAAATAAGTATCAAGATTATTAACCTTGTTGATACATTGATTAAATTAAATTTCATCTCGTCACGTAATTAAAGGTTAATCTATGTTAGTTAATTAAAAGTCATTGACTTTTTTAAGGTACAATTATCAACAATGAGTTAATTGTTACAATGAATCGATAATATTTATCATAAAATATAAGTAAATTGATACAATTTATAAATTTGTTTGATTTAACCTAAATTGTTATGATAGTTACTTGTTACTTACAATTAAAATCACAACGATTATTATGACAATCATTGATTCACTTGATTAACATGATAATCAACGGTTAATTTATGATAATTACGATAAATTGACAAGTTATTTACCATTTAACTGAATTAACTTTTTTTTGCTGTTTTATATCAACGTTATCCTTGAATAGTTTATCATAAATGTAGTTTTTTTGATTGTGATCATTTTGATTGTTGATATAAATGTTAATAATGATGACGATAATGATTATGAGTATGCTAATTGATTTCATGATAGTTTAATTTTCAGAGTGATTAAATTGAGCTTAGCTTTGATTCCTCATGTTGTTGTCATTGAATGTTGACTTGTTTTTTTTTATCAACAATACGATTGCGACAATCAAATTGATCGATTGAATAAAATGTTTACTTAATATGATTAGTTGATTGTTGTTCAGTATTTTCCTCATGTTAAACATTGTCGATAATAATTCAATCAAATTTAATATTTTGATTGAACAAGTCTATTGAAGATGAACAATTAGTTGATCAACCATTTTGAGAGTTAATTTACTTGAATATAGTTAATTGTTCCAGTTAATTTTCCAAATGGTAAACTGTCCAATCTTCAATTTGGTTTAACGGGTAATTTAAAATTTTCCAATTAAAATAACTGTTAATCCATATTGACCTTTTAATGTCCAGTTAATTAAAATTTCGTAATCACTTTGTTCTTGTTGCTTAATAAATTCATCTAAAAGTAAACAAAAATTTTAAATTACTGTTAAACCTTCAGAAATAAATTATTAAAAATATTTACCAATTACTATTTGATTTGATTCTTTAACAAAGGTAAATAATTGCGAAGAAATTAAATAACAATGATTTACTCACCTGAAGATGATCAGGGAAACTGGTTTATCTTTTTTGATTGCCACTTGATTGTGATTCAATTGCATAACTGATTTGGCATTGATTCAAAACAGGTAATTCATTAATTAATTTTTCCAATTTAATCATCATCACCATTGGAAAGTAATTTAGTAAACTGGAAATACACAGATAATTGCTGAACAGTTGCAATGTAAACAAGGAAATTTTATCACGGAAGTTGATTAACTAGTAACGATAAACAGGAAAAGAGAGACACTGAAACCACTGATTCCTTTCACCATTGGAATTGGAACCATTTAGTATTTAATTGAGTGAGTTGTCAACTGATTTGTTTGCTTTGGAGTTTTTTTTTCTGGGGAAAAAATTAAATTAAACATTAGGCAAGTTCATAGGCCTTTTGATTAATGACACCAAGAGCAATTACATGTAGATTAAACAGTTAATTGAAACACTCAGTTTTGTTGTAATTTCTCCGCCAACATTGATACAATTTTACTCTTTGTTAACCTTTAAAGTCTTTCCTTGGGTCAATGGTACGTTCAGTTATTGATCTCCTTCCGATTCCATTGCCTTGTGATCAAGAGAAAATCTGTAATGGAGGAAATTAAAGGAAACAATTAGATTATATGATGAAAAATAAAACATTGTAATTTAAATTAGATTATTTGATTCTCAAAAGCAAACAGAGAGCCAGAGAAATGTTGAAGATCAAACTACAATAAGGGACTTGGAACAGAGCTCAGATTCAACTCAATCAATGGTAACAATTATCATCTAATAATAGAAAACAGACCAACAATTAAGATGGTAAATGATAGAGTTGATCCACTATTCCTTTCCATGTACAAAAAAATGAAAGAAAATAGAATAGAATTTAGAAAATTTTCCAAATAGAATATTTTTCTTAAATTAAAATTGTTTAGCTTTACCGGTGACCCTTGACCAGCAATTAACCAACAAAATTAGATGACAAACTTAATCAATGTTACAGAAGACAGAATAAGTTAATTAGGTCCAAAAAAAGGTAACAATTAACCAAGAAAATGAAGAGAAATACAAAAGATAACATTGTAAGTATATAAGGTGAAGGAACAACAATCCAAAACAATTATCACTTTTATATTAATTATTAGGATGAAGTGAGAAAAATAAACAAACCGAAAAGATGAATTGAAGATGAGGTTTCTTATTGATAATAATAAACGTTGTTGTTAATGATGATGATTAGACAGAAATTGATGAAGAAGATAATTATTTATAACAATTAAGATTAAAGAAATTGTTAAGAAAAAAGACAGAGAAGAAAAAAGAAAGACAGTAAACAAATGGGAGGGAACACAAGAGACAGAGAGAGAAGAGGGAAAATTTTTATTCTCAATTTGTCTTCATGTTGATCAGTCGTTTCTCTTGATTAACTTTTATTTTTTTTTCTCTTCTGTTTGCCTTTTTATTATTTCTCTTTGTGATTAAACAACAACTAATCAACTGTTCTTAATTAATGTAAGTCACTGGTTAATCAAAAAGTCAAACATAAAAATAATCAATTAATCAAAAACAGTTTAATTTAATTTGTCATCTCTTTTCCTTTGACGTTGTTGGAGCTCTACACGTTATCCTAATGTGATTTCTCCATTTTGTTTTTTTCTCTTTAGATTTTTCTTGTTTTTCTTTTGATTCCATATTCTTTTCCAATTGGTAAACCTTAATAATTATGCTTTGGTCATCTTTACCTGGACAATATTCATCAACAAACCTCGTCAATAGTGAAAGTGGATATCAAGGTTGACAAATTTACCTGCAACAAGTGAACCATTACCAATGGTATTATGATGATATTAGGAGAGAGAAAAAAAAATGATTATAATGGTTTATTGTGATAATCATTAAGTGTTTTAATTCTGGTGATGATCAATTTAATGATTATCCTCTAATTAGTTAATCATTAGGAGATTCCTTGGTTACAATTAGTCGAAGAAGAAACAAAAGAGAAAAGAATTTTTTTTGGAGAAAAAAGAACATTTTTTATTCTCTTTTTGCCTCCATTTTTTTTCTCACTTTTTTGTTCTATTCTTTTTAACCATTTTTCTTTCTCTCTCTCTCTCATTTTCTAATAAGATTGAACATTATCTCTTTCTGTATTTGTAATCGGTTAGAATTGGAAACTTATCTTGTTTTTTTTTCTTTTCTTTTCAACTGTTTACCTCATCTAATTAATTATTAGCGATTAACTTTTATCATCAACAATAATAACAAAAAGACAAGATCAACAGTTTAAACCGGATTTTGTGTCAGTTAACAATTAACTTTCAACTGAACAACATGATCCCTTCTCAAATGTAAATCATGTTTATTTTATTAACCTGTTAACGTTTCTTCAACTAATCAAAATCAACCATCATTTCAAGTAACAGTTTTTGGTGACAATCAACAATAAGTTTACAATCCAAATCGAAGACAACAATTAATCATTTTTTTCTTCATTTCTTCTCAATTGTGTGGTGATAAAATTTCTTGATTCAATTTACCGGTATATTCACCAATATCGTTCTGATATTAAATTGATTGTTCTTAATCTCTCTCTCTCTCCATCTTTTACCTGTTAAAGGATTAAACATTTTTGGATATAATTCTTATTTTATCAATCTATTAATACCTTTTACTTTCCTGTTACATTGATAAATCATCTTCAAATCTTTTCATCATAATCATCATCAATTCTTTCTCATTAAATAATTACCGTTATCGATGATAATTTTAATCAGCATCTTTAATCACAAATTTAATCATCATCAACCATCATCTTACCAATCCTGATCGTCAATAATTCTAATATTATCCCGTCATTAACGTCAACTTACCAAGAAGAAGGAGAAGCAAAGTTAATCACCATCAATGAAGAAATTTAAAGATTATTATTATCAATTGATTAAGGAAAATCTCTCTCCCATTCTCACTGTTTCTATTGCATTTATAATATTAACAGTGTTTACCTTTCATTCTAATACATGTTGATTCTTCTTCTTCTTTTTTTTCTCTCCCATCTTCTAATCATCTTGATAATTTAATGGTAACAATTTTTATCCACCTAGTGATTATTTCTTTTAAGGTAAATTAATCAGTTAATCCATTTAGACGATGTGAACTGATGCCTTTAATTGTGTACACTGGAATTAAATTAATTAATTGAATCGTCATGATGATATTATTACCAATTTGGATTAACAATTTAATTTCACATTCTAAACAATCATCATCACCATCTTCGCCACCATCGTCATCATCATTACCTACATCTTTACCTATTTCATTATTTAAAGTGACAATTTTATCATCATCTTCATCTTCATCTTCATCCTCATCCTCATCATATTTAACGTTAATTTCACTAATTATAATCATTTTACCAACTGTGATCAATTGTGTGGAAATAGATGATGATTGTGTTCCATTTATTAATAGACTTACTTTTTGCTCAACAACAAAACGAGATGATATCTATTATCAAATTGAAGTTCCAACTACAGGTTATCAAACAAATTTCAGTTTACAAGGTAAGCTAATTAACTAATAATCCATTTGTATCATCATCATCATCATCATCATTAGCATGCTTTTGATTTTCAATGAGTTTTTACAATTCAAGTTGCATTATTTTAACATTTATACTTAAGCCATTGAGCCGATGATGAGTTTTTTTCGTGGTGTTGGTTATATATTAATGGCATTAATTGTAAATTGTTATTTTGCTCCTAGAAAACAAAGAGTAAAGTAAAACAATTGAAATTACAAAGGTAAATTTACAAAACCTAAAACTAGGTAAGAAAGTTAATCTAATTAAATTGCATTCAGACCATTTAACCAAATTATTGAACTGAATTAAAAGTCAAAAAATTAGGTTGCCTTTTTTGTTACCAACTATAAAATCTTTCAAGTTTACCAAATGTAAATTAAAAAGCATTCATATGGATTTTGATTAAATTGATTGTTTGCAATTTAATTTCATGATTAAAATAAGGAAACTTTGATAGCCTTGGATTTGTGGTTTATGATTATTACAATTGAATCCTTGAAAGATTAGCAATCAAGGGTAAAAATGCAATCCAAAGATAAATATTAGTTCTGTTAATGATAATTATAATTAACTAATGCAATATTTGATTTCTTGATCCAATACTTAGTAATCAATAATACACAGTAATAGTCTCTGATTGTTTAATTTTACTCATTTGATTCTCAATTAGACAAACTGATCAATTGCTCAATTTCGGCAGCAATTAATTCCTGCTTGATTCATCACTAATTAAACAGTTTTTCAGTTGATTTTTAATAGCATCATCGATTGTCATATCAAGTCTGAAGTAAAAGGCAATTTTATCAATCATAATTTATCATCTCAATGATAAACAACATTATTTTTTAAATTGTCCTTGTAATTGTCAATTTAAAAAAAAACATTGTCACCTGATCTTTGTCAACTTGTAATTATTTTGTATTATTAATTGTTACGATTGAAATGTCTGATTGTTTGTTACTTTTCAGTTGATTGTTTTCAATTATTTATTTTTGTTTGTCTCAATTGATTTACTCAGTATTAGAGTTAATCAAATTAATTCAGTTAATATATTAGTTATCGGTAATCATATTAGTCTCTTTTTTTTAACTAAATCCATCAAACCATGAAAAAAAAAGTAAATTGTTCAAGTGAACATGATTAAACTTGATAATCAATGAATCATTAATCATTTTTTCACGATTCTCTTCATTTGAACCTCACCTTATTATTATCATTTCCATCACAATTAACTGATATTGTTATGATGTTCAGAAAATTTGGTTAATTAATTAGCATCTTTTGCCACTTTACATTTTCTTTTTTAAAGAAAAACTTTGATAAATTGCATAATACAATTAATCACAATCAACTGATCACTAACATAATTATAATCATCAGTGTATTTTAATTCTGTCTGAATACAATCAACTAACCTGAGCGTAAGTATACAAGTTTCAATCAATCATGTTTACTAGTATTAGTAGTAGAATCAGTTAGTTAAGTAATTGATTACGCCAATAATTTTGTAGTATTTTCCTTAATATAATCGGAGCTATTATATGATTAGAATTGAATCAAATCGAGAAAAAAATCACACAATTAACTGAATATCTCTTTTGAAACTTGATCAGATTTAACTTTTACACCATGATGATAATGATAATTAACTAATTACGATTTACCTTCATTAGTCAATAAGCAGTAGATTCAAGGTTAGTTAATAAACTTGTTGTTGGTTAATAATTAATGTTAATTTACTATGAGAAAAATATGATAATCACAATTGTTTGATAATTGTTACCATAATATTACAATAATCACAATGATTATCCTTTGTCAATGTTAATTGTTGAACTCGTGGCTCTTAATTATTAATAATACAAAGAACACTTTGTTTTACAATTATAATTAGTAATCGATGATGATGATGTTAATCTTAATAACCTTAATGAACTTGTAATTTATTAATGAATTTATTTCCCTTTTACCTTAGATTTTGATGTCGATACATTTGACCTGAAGGAGGACAAAGTGGTCTTCAAGAAAGCGACCAACCTAAGACCCAAAGTTTACCGAGTTATCATTCTGGTCACTCAAGTCAAAGATGAAAACATAATCGGACCTAATTGCATGATTTTGGAAATTGAATTAAATGATCGCCATTGTAATTATGTAGGCCACTGTACAGTAGTAGTCTCTGTATTGGCCAGTTTTTGCTTAATCTTACTAACCGCTCTTTCCGTTTCCTTAATAATATTGAGAAGGAAAAAACCGTTATCATTAATATTACGAAAGGTGAAACATCCTGACGATGACTCGTATTCAAATGGACATCACCCTGAGACTGGGTAAGTTTTTGACACAATAGAAACAACTTAATTTAATAAGATTCACTTGATATTCATGAGATTGTGAAATTAATTGTTTCAAATTTCAATTACTATTTGTAGACATTATTTCCCTTACGTGTTGAGTATTTTTCTTACCTTAATTTTCATCTGCAATGGTTAACACTTTTTAATTTAGTTCAACAATCAACTTCAATGATTGTTTGATAAATTATATTAGTCTGACAAAACCTTTCACGTTATCAATATGATTCATTGTAATATTATCATTAATTACTTTCAACATATATCACATTCAAAGTAATTAAATCAAAGCTAAAAAGTTGTTACTAATAATATAACAGTGTTAATCAACTTTAAAATGATTAGAGTCCTTCTAGGTTGTCATAATTAATTAATTTCCTTTTACATTCATAATTATAATCATGTATTTCTGTTCAACATTAGCTAATCATTTGATCAGACTTTTTATTGAGGAAATTGTAATTATCTGAATATATATATTCTCGGTATCATTTCTATGATACAAATTGACAAGGACAATTTAATTGTCACCAACAAAAAAAAAGTCTGAATGAATTAACAACAAAAGTTAATTACAATTACATCTAACAAAATGTATATGTAATCTTTCAAAGTTTGATTATAAACAATTAAAAATCATTAGTGAAAAGATTAATTCATTTACATTAAAAACTTGTTAGAAAACATTTCCACTAATTTGATAATCAAATGTCATTCAAACCTATTGAACAAGTGATAACTTTGACGATTTAAATTCATTACAATTACAGTTTAATTATCAACTGATTATAGTTTTTTTTAAATTATCATCAATATGGTGTCAAAATTGATCTCATTATTTAGTAATGTATTTACTTATTATTTTTTTTTATACTTCTAACTAATCATACAATTAATTATGTTACATATTGTACCAGAATCGGATTTATTATGAGATAGATGAAATTTTCTGGTGTAACAAGAGATAGGAAGTTGATAATTACATTGTTAACACTTCTTATTGTTATTATTATTAATAATAAATGTCTATGGAAGTGAGAAATTGGTTTCTCCTTAATGCATTTCCTTTTTATTATACTCATTCATTATCGTAGCTGAAAAAAAAGATGATTAACTAACAATTTGATTTTCTTTTGTTTAATCATCTCTCTCTCTCTCTCTAAATCATCTAGTGATCAAAATTTAATTATACCTCGTAAAGCTTCAAGTGTTGCTGCTGACATTGCCAATGGAACCATAACTAGGCCAACATTTTCACCTCCTGATGGCTTACTAATGCCCCGGAAATCATCATTGAAACAAAGTCGAATTGAAGTGATCCCAGTTAAAGATGATCCCCTTAAAGCAATTGAATCGGGCATTGAAAACGCAGGTTACCAGGAATCTGAGGTTTCCCGGAGAGCATCAATAATACCGGAGGTTGAAGAGCCAACAGATGATAATAAACAATCAGCTGATAGATCACCTGATATTAGTAGTTCCATAGAAACAAGAAGAAAATCAATTGTAACATTTAGTGATAAAACGGAAGTCATTAGGATAACAAAATGAATGTCATCATCAATTCCCTTTCCTTTTCCACCCACCATCACAAACAAAACACAAACACACACACACACCACCAACCACATTTTCATCATCTTTAAATATTTCCTTAATTTTTTTTAGTCTTTACTATTTTATCAACAATAATTTGTGTCAAAAATCAACAAGGAAATAATATAAATCAATTTTACAATAAGATGGTGATTGTAAATGGTATACCCAACACACTTAATTGTTAAATAATGTAAAACTATTAACCATCGTTTACATTCAACAATCAAACATGCAAAAATTAAGTCAAATGTAACAATTTATCCCGATAAATTGTCATCTACTTGAAATAAGTGAAATAATTATTAGCAACAACAAAATCGATCTCAATACTTAAATATTATGTGATTTGATTGTAGAAAAATTTAAATTCTGTCTTAATTGTTATCATCATGATAACATTCTGATATTGGTTATGTTAATTGTAATAAGATATTGAAACGATGAAAGAAATTGAAAGAAATTTAATTTTCTTGTAATAAGATCACTTGATTTGATTTATTTAAATCTATTTTCATGTATATATATCATCAACATTATTATTACATTATTCATTTGATTACGATTATAGTTTATTACGATATTAATATATCATAATCATTATCATCATTAATCACCAAAAAGAAAGATTAATTAACATTGTATTAAATTTGATTTTGTTTTTTTTTCAAAGGTGAGTTAATTAAATAATAATCGCCATTGATTGTGTCTTGGTAACGTAATTAATGAGTAATTAATTGGAGAGAGATGCAACTTTCAAGATAGAAAAAGATTAATTTGTTTCATTTCAATTAGATTTGATTTAAGTAATTTAAGTGTGAAAATTGGTAATAATAATTATCCTCTTCCTTTGAATGTTTAATTGTTTCTCTTTTTACTTAATTAACAAGTCAACAATTGATTACAATCATGAGCAGCAGCAGAATTGGTAGTATTTGTAACATTAGAAGTACCTGAGTTACCGTTAATTTTATTATTAGAATCAACAATTTGTGTTATCGGTGATTGTTGATTAACTTTTACCGATAAATTATCATAATTAAATGAATCATTCCCTTGACCTTGTCCATAGTTATGGTCAGTTGATATTAAACTTTTACCTGAGTAAATTAAATTCATATTGTTATTATTATTCAACAATAAAGGTAACGATGATGAATCGCTCGCTTTTAATTGAGTTGATTGTGATGAATATCCGTTGGTTGATTGTTTAATTGTTGTTGTTGTTGTACTTGATTCGGGTGGTGATCCTCCTTTCCTCGTTTGATTATCATAACAATTACTTAATAATGTTGGTGAATCAGTTTGATTATCTGAACTGTTGTTGTTGTTGTTGTTGTTACGTTGATGGAGCTCAAAGTGGTTACTTGTTTGGACGGTAGCTCGACGATAATGATGACCAGTTGATGTTGCACCATGTTGATTGAAACCATTTGATGACAGGTCAGTTTTCACATTGTAACTTGATTGTTTTTTCAGTCGATTTCGAGCCAAGAAACAAAAAATGGACGCAAAGTAGCTTCGAAATCTTCGAGGGCCAAAATTATCGTGGAGACCATAAAATGAAGGTAATATTGATGATGATGGAACCAATTGAATTAGAGACAATACCAAATGATGGGAACAATTTAGGAAATCAATCATGATAGAAATGATCAGAAAAGGAAGAGAAAATAAAAAAAAACATTAGAAGATGAGATTAGTTTTAATTGTTTTAATAGAAAAGAAAAGAAAAAGTAAAAAACAAAATGGAGGGAAAACATTATCAACCATGAGAATAGTTAATGTAATCATGTTAACAAGGAAATTCAATCTCAACAATTAAGGTTAATCCAGTTAATTGTTCCAAGTCACATAATTACTTTTACGTTAACTGTTGATCATTATGGTGACAATTTAATTTAATTAACTGATGAAAGGCAAATATAAACAAGGAAAAACAATAACTTCATCTCATTGATTAATCTTTAAACTAATGACATCTATTGGAGTTAATTGTTGCCACAATGAGAAAAAGTTTACCATTTAAATTGTTTCTCTTTCTCTCCATAGTTAATTGTACAATCGGAAAGAAATCATTAACCTTTGTAACAATTAAACTATTCATTGATTAGATTATGAAGACAATCAAATATTTATCTAATAGGAAAACAAAAGTTGTTGACAAACAAAATTTGAACGAAAAGACAATTTCTTGATATACTTTTGGGCAGTTTCTTCATTTTTTTTTGGACAATCAATTGATTCAGTTTTCATTGAAAAGCAATTTGATTATAATGATGCATCGAAAAGATAAATTGTCTTTCAATGAAAAAGGGTGGATCAAAATCGAGAAAGTTGTAGAGTAAAAAAGAGCCAAAATATAATAGGAAAAGTTCATAACGGTAAATAAACATTTAGAAAATGATGAAAGTTTTTTTTAAGGAAAAACAATTGAATGATAGTAACGATTAGATAGATGAAGATATTGTTTACATGATAAATGAAGGTGAAAGTATCATGAATGGTTTACCTTTTATTCATCCAATAGTAGATGAGTGGATTATACATGGAATTGGACATTGCCAGCCAATAAGAGAAAAGGAAAATATGTTGAATGATAACCGATTGATTTATATGTGGATAATGATATGAATAAAGGAAATAAGCATGATAGGGTAGCCAACAGATAGCGAACAGGATGACCAGTGCTATTAACATTCGGGCCACTTTTTGCTTTGATCGAATTGATTCCCGTTGAATGTCGGTCTCCTCGCCGATACCCTTACTGCCCCAAAGAACTCGAGACATTAATGAATAAGTTATCACCAGGGAAATCATTGGTATCACATAGGTTATCATTAAGAAGGTTAAATTATATCTGAAAAAAAATAAGAGCAAATTAAAGTTATGACAAAAGGAAAAAGTTATTAATATCTCAAAGAAAGAGTTAATCTTTCATTTAATGTAATAATTTTCTTCATCATTTCTCAATTAGAAAGGTCAGAATTGAACTCAAGTTTCTTCCAAAAAGTTCAATATGTAATCCGACCTTTGGAACGATAAAACTCTGTTAGAACGTTATTATTAACCAATACTCTCTTATTTTCTTTGTTTTTTTCTCTCTATCTTTCTATTCAATTCTCGTTACAATTGAACTTTGAAGGCAGAATAAATTCTGATAATAATTTAAGTGAATCAGAATTGAAAGCAGTTGGAAATGAAATTATTATCATTAGTATATATCATGAAGAAAGTGGGTTTGTATCTGCTCAGTGGTGGTGGTGGGAGATTATTGGGAGTGAGAAACTTGGAAATTGTTTCCAATGCTGTAAGTGAATATCTAATATCTCATGTTTATCAAGATTCTCTGAATTCTGGAGCGATCATTCAATTGAAATGATAATTCCGAGTCTGGTTTCATTGACTGGAAGATATTTTTATCATATACACTGAGAGAAAGAGGAAGAAGAGGAGGAAAAGATGATGATGATCATCATCATCATCATGGTGATGAAGGTGGTTGTATTAGTGGTGGTTGAAAGGTAGATAAATGGATGAGAATGAAAAATCAATAACAGATACACATTAAGATGATAGTAATATCAAAAATATGATGTAATAATATGATAACCATGTTGAAATCTCATTGATAAGGAAAATGTTATTTTGTAATATTAAATTATTATGTACATAATCAATTGATTATTACTTTTGTTTTTTTCCTCAAAAAAATAATCAAATGGCCTGAGCATGATAACGATAATAACAATAACTAATAGCAATTGAGTACGATAAATATTATAAACAGAATTCATCTTGTAGTAATAAATAGAGTGAAATTATTTCGAAGAAACAAAAAAGTTCCAACTTACTGAATTTTCAACTTGGGAATTTAAGTGAAAGATTTGATATTAATAAGGAAAAAGATAGTTGAATGTTGAATTCTGTTACATGGTTGGAGAAATGGTGATAATTTAGACGATGATGATTCTTTGAATGAATAATCATTGATGAGAAAGTTAAGAATTCCAAGTTGGAACTTTTCTTTTCTCTCTTTCTCCCCTGTTAACTTATTCCATGTTTATCTTGGTATCAATTCTGATGTTCATTTGATTTGGTTTCATGATGATTCTCATTTATTTCTTTTCTTCATTTCAGAACTTTGGTCATCCAGTTCCGTTATCTTATCCTCCCTGTGATGATGACACTGAGGCTCATCATCATTAAGATTAACTCCCTGTTGTGAGTGACTTTTTTATTCTGCTTCGATTTAAAATAACATATGATGAACGTAATCATGAAGGAAATCAGGTTAATGATTAGATTTTTTTCTTCTTCTTCTTTACTTTGATCAATATACATGATCAGTTATAACTGAGTTTCTATCAATGAGTTGTTTACTTTTGTATATGTTTATCTTAGGGTAACATGAGTATCACCATGAAATTTTCTGATTCCATCGATAAGAAGCTTGAAATGAGCTTCACATTGAACTGTCAGATAAAGTTCATTGATATTGGAATCAGTTTGTATTCATCATTGTGGATATTATATTATTATCGGACTTAGATATTAAGTTACATGTTTATCAGTAAAGTTATCAACATTTTCATCGTAAGAACTGAAAAAATAGAGGCAAAGATATTCATTTACATTGTTTAACAATCATGATGAATACTAATTCTGGAAAACAATCATAACCATTATCAGTGATGAACATATGAACATATTATTCAAAGTAACAATCAGTAAATACATGATAAAACTTTCTCATGGTTAGTTGATGATTATTCTGAGTAATTCAAGTCTTTGTCAATGTTAATCACATCAGAACACTGAATCTATGGGTCAAATTGGATGAACTTTTTTTCCATCATGTACTTTTCTTGTCCATTGTAAGTCAATGGACTGAGAAAAACGGAAATACAAGTTGAGAAGGAGAGTTAATATTGATTTGATTGAATCAAAAGCGATTATGTTTAATTCTTGTCATTGTAAATTGATGAAGATTCAGTTTGTTTCAGTCTCATCCATGGGTTCATGATGATTTAATTTGAATGAGAAAATACTTTCAATTTAGTTTAAGTCTGATAAGCTTTTCGCTTCCTGAGTTCATGCGGATTTCTGGTCCAAAATCATTAGATTGTAAGTTTAATTTTGTATCAAATAATTTACCCTCCAAGTATATAAGGTAATATAAAGTTGTTCATATTGTTCAGTTAGATGCTGAGTATCATTATCATGAACCATTAGCATCCTCATCATTAGCATCATGAAGATTTGAGAGGAAAAAAAATAAAATTTCCTCTGGAAAAATATTCTCACCAGGAAAGAAGATGAAAAATAAACAAGAAAAAAAAGTTCTGGCAAAGTGATTGATTGAATTTAAAAAAAAATTGCAACAAAACCCACTTAATATCACATATCAACAATTTCCAACAATCAAGAGTGATTTTAATTGTAATCTGTTGATGGTTAATAAACTAAATATCGTAAACCATTGAATCAACTATCATCTTAATACCATGATGATGTTGATCATCACCATGATATCTGTCAGTGGTGATTAAATTAATTGTCTCTCTGTGTGTTTGCCTAATCATTTTTCACTTTTATTATCGGTAATTAATCAAATTGATCAAAATCAACACTGTTGATAATCAATAAAATAATTGATAATCAACAATATGATACAGAAAAATCAATCAACAGTCAGTTGCAGATGATTTGATTTACTTTCAAGTTGATTAATTTATCTGATTAAATGAAATCAATATCATTAAGATTATATCGTTATTAAATCATCGTAGTGATAAATTATTGTGTATTAATATCATGAGAAAAATATTTCTCAATCAAGGTCAATTGATTAATAGCCAACAAGAAATGGGCTCAACAATTAAAAATATATAACTGATAAATGCTAGAAAATAATATGATAACTTTGGGAAATATTAACACTGAAGTTGATTGTTTGTTTTACCAAACAATCAAAACGATTAAGATGATAATCATTGATTGCCCACCGATTGATTTATTAAATTTCATGATAATTCAGTTAATCTGACATTGATACTAACGCTGATCATTAGACAACAATTTAAACTATCAAATGATTACAATGTAACGTGTGGTTAACACGCAATCAAAACAATAAATAAATATGGTTAACGAGTGACAAATTCATTGAGATAATTTTATAATCATAATGATAATTGTAATGGTAATCATGATGATGATTAACTTTGGATTTGGAAAAGTTTATCTTGGAAACAATTTTCAACGGTGATTCCATTCAACTGATTTAATAGTAATATATGTTGACCATTCACTGACCATTGGACAGAGACGATAAACATTGTACATTGTAAACTAATACTAGAGTTATTATTATTATTATTAATAAAGGAATGCCCATTAAATTAAGTCAATTGGAAATAATCAGAACAGATAAAACTATCTTTCAATATCTGAATCAATTGATGTGAACCATCAAGAAACATTAAATCATCAATGAAGATGATGAGGATGCTGAGGATGAGACAGATGAACAACTAACGTTTAAATGAATTACAGATTAATGTTTTTTTTTCACTGATGAAAGTTTGTTTTTTCAGTCAGTAAATTGATTTAATCATTTAACCAGAATTAACTGATCATATGAAAGGTTAATTTGATTGATTAGTGATCATTTCAAGATTTTTTCTTCTTCATTTCAATTATTCACAATATAATTTGATGGTTAATAAGAATCGAAGAAGCAAAAAAAAATAAATAATCAAATCAACATTCAATTTATAATCTTGATTGTACAGGGTCATTCGGCATTCGTACTTATAATCCAGTGTCTATATCTGTATGTAAACAATACAGTCGATAAAAATAACGATGATGTTCATAATGATCATGATTCTGACAATCTATTCAATATAATCTGAATTCCCTGATGAACTTTTATATTTATATGATAAGTTGCTATGATATTTGTATAATTCAGTGGTAAAAGTGACAGTGTATGAGTGATTGAATTGCTTGGGGCAAATGGACATAATGAACAATGGACAATAATGATAACGGTCAACAGCCACTTGGTGTATTTATAACGGTCAAGTTATAGCTCATCATGATTATCAAAGTATTGTCACAATCTGACTGAATGATATGTTGATAGGATCACTTTTAGTTTTGTATGTTTATTTTTTTTTGTTTACTCTCAGAAAGAAAAATCCTCAAAGGGAAAATGATAAATGATAATAAAAATAGATACTAATGTAAATGCTTGTAAATCCAAGGTAAATGAGCCTGAAACAAGTGATAATTTAACTAGGAAAATCAATGGATATAAATCATATCTTCCCATGAATTTCATTCCCAGTTCAGTATATCATTAGAATGATAATCTTCCTACTCCCTCATTATATTAAGATCTACATTCATCTCTCTCTCTCTCTCTCTCTCTCTCTCTCTCTCTGCTGAGAATTGGCTTCATCATCTTATATCTTTGAGCTCTTTTCGTTGCAACGAAAAGTCAACTTTGAACATATTCCTTATTCGTATTGATTATCTCACCAGCGTGTTCTCGTTGATTATTCAATTGTAAAGGATAAGAATTGTTGACAATTTGTCTAAGATAATCTCCTTAAATCTTATTCTCTACCAAACTTAACATTAAATACTAATGTTTCCTAAGTACCCTTTGAGAATCATTGATTAGCTAAATTGTTTCACATATTAAACTAAATCAAGGTCTCTTTTTCTGTAAACAATTAAGGTAACAATTTGAAAAGAACAAAAACTTGCAAGTATCGAGTTTATAATGATTCGAAGTGATTAATTGTTACAAAATCCATACACTAGTTAAAAGTAAAAAAAAGTGATTAAAAGACAATTAATCATTTTAGATTCGTTTCTAATACCAAACACTAATACATATGTATTTCAGTTTTCAAGACTAATTAGTTTTTAAATGAACAAATTTCTCTTGCCTTGATTAGTTTATCAATCTAATCTACTTACAGGTAATCGGATGTTGATTGTCCCGCGTATCCATCAGGCCAAACCAGGATACAAACGACTCGATACCCGCCGTCCTGAAACGGAATTGTAAATAGCCTCGAGTAAAGTAGATTGGGAAGTGATAATAATGCCGCAAATGACCAAACCATAATGATAATCAACATGACCCGATGTTTGGTCATCCGAGGTTTCAATGGATGGACAACAGCAATGTACCTTTGTAATTAATCAATCAATTAATTAGTCAAAACTTTGCTGGTGAAAAAAAAAGTTTCGTTATCATAATTTACCGTTACATTGTTATTGTGACTTGTAATTTTTGATTAATTGCTTTCACAATCAATCATAATTTACCTTTAAAATGATTAAAATTAAACTTGCTTGTTTCATCAATCAGTGGGTGTAACAATTTATAATCAAATGAGTTAACCAAATCAACTAAATTGTCAATCTCAAGGATTTCAATTGACCCAATCAATAATTGATAATAAATATAATATGTAAGTTACGTTAAGTTTTTGCAAAAGTTTTACCAAAAAATTAATCTCATTACTTATAATCAATCAAACCAATGAGACAATCAGTTTAATTGTTTAACAATCAATTACAAACTAATCTTGAAGCAATTTGATTACATTGTTATTTTATCCAGTCTAATATGTTTATTCAAATCAAATACCAGCAATTAATTGTTGTCACGATTTAATTGTTAAACTATCATACAACTTGATTGCTGATCGTTATTATCCAAGATTAGATTGATTATCATTGGAAAAACAAATTAACTACCACAGGCAAATAATAGATTAACACAGAACCAAATTAACTCAAAGTCAATTTAATAGTTGATAACATTTAAAATAACATTTTTTTTCATTCCTTTCAAATGTTGAATGAAAAAAAAAGTTAATACCAAACTTTATCCTCAATAAAAGGATGAGGATGAGGATGAGGATGATTATCATTTCATTTCATCTTCCATGTATCATCCTGTTCAGTTTGTATCAAATTTCTGAATCGATAGAAGAGAAAAAATCAGTTTCTCTTTTCGTACCTTTTTTTTGTTCATTCTTGAAAAGGATTGTACCTTTTCACCTGAATTTCATGGTAGACATGGTGCTTGTTGAATATACAGCCTGACCTTCAACAAGATCATTTCATGGTGGTGAGAATCATCACTTAATATCCTCTTTTTTTAAGTCTATTTGTTTCATGAACATCATCATGATAAACGATCATTTTTTTTTCCTTTGCTCGGAAATTTTTTCATTCTTTTTTAAATCTTGATAAACTATCAGGTAGTTAATCCTCTGAAAACTGTAACCAGAAATTATTCTGAGCCATTAGAATCATCATATGTTACAATAAATAGATTAGTATTCATTATGATTACATAGGTAGAGAAAAGTTCTGAAAGTTCTGGAAATGAAGACAGTGAGTGAGAAAGAGAGAAAGAAAGAGATAGGGCAAGTTTCTCCATGGAGAAAATAAAATGAAGATTCCTTAATAATAATAATGATAAGAAGAAAAAATCATTTCAATTAATCATCTCCATCGAAAAGGATGAAGACAATGAACAAGATGAGGATTAAGAGATGATGATAAATGGATAAGAGAACAAAAAAAATAGAAAAGAATATCAAAGATTCAACTAAATTAGTTGGCCATTGGTAAGTATTATATTCAATGGACTCAATATGTATTCCTTATGATGATTAAAACTTTTTCCAACATCTTATTTATCATCTTCTTTCATGGTAAAGATGAAACAGAATCACCAAAGATACAGAAATAAATATATATATATAAAAGACGAAAAGAAAAAAAAATAAACATAAACATCGTCATCAAAGTTATAATAATAATATTACTTTCGCATAAAGATGATGACGATGATGACGATGATGATAATACGCCATCATCATAATCATCAGCATCATCATCTTAAGGATAATAAGCTGAAGAAAAGCAGGTAAAATAATGAAAAACTTTCAGAGGAGAAGAAAAAAAGTTCTAATAAATAATATCAATCTCGAATATGTAATATGCACTCAAGAACTTTAATTGAATTTGATATAATCTTCCCTCAGTAAAATACAAAGTGAAGTAAAAAAAATTACACTTATTAATATTTGATTAATATTTGATGATAGTAGTTGATAAAGTTGCTATTGAATATCATTAAAAATCATTATATCAGTTGATAATATATGGTGATTATCATGATGGTAAAATGTTTGATTTGAGTGAGAAAAATTCAAATCAAGATAACCATTATCACAGAATCCATGTTAATAAAGAAATGTGATTAGGAATTATCAATGAATAACAATAATTGATGATAAACCTCATTGAAATGTCGGAACATTTTAACGGCCATATCCATATCCACCGTATCCACGGTTGTATCCTCCGTATCCACCGCCATATCCTCGGTTGTAACCTCCGTATCCACTACCGTATCCGCCGCCGTATCCACCGCCGTAGCCTCTGTTGATGGGTCAGAACAATGGAAATGAAGAAGAAAAAATTTGATTACAATTGGATAATCAGAGTAGATTAACTGAACAATCAAGGAAATGATTAGCTAAAAATGTTGGTTTACGAGTGAATAATTTGCAAAAGTAATCAGTTAATTGTAATCAGAATAACATCAAGCTAATAGTTAACATGATAATCTATTAGATACATTTTTTTTTTAATAACTTTTACATGTTGTCGCAATTGATTTAATGGATTATATCACATTTATATAATCTGATTGAGGATAAATCATCATTATCAGAGGATAATAAACAAGAACAAGTAAATTGCTGATAATCATCATGATACTCATCTCATGAGATTTGAATAGATTCAGAAACCATAATTAATCAGCTCTCTAAATATTATTATTATTGATTATCAAGCTAATAAGGAAAGGACATTTTCACTTATCACTTAGATTTGTACATGAGATTAAGTTAAAGTATCTCATCATTGGTATAAGGATAAAGGTGTCTAATGATTTAGCTAATTGCTGGCAAATTGATTGAAATTAAATTAGCTTACCTGTTACCGTAACCACCGAGGAAACCGGCCTCAACCATTGGGACACCAATGTACAAACAGAGAGCAACAATTGCTAAGATAAGGGAAACCATGAAGTTCATCATTTTTGTTGATTTAAAGGGATTTTTTTTTGTTCACAAAAAAATGTAATTGGTAATTGTTTGATTAACAAGGTGAGTGAATCAAGTGAATGAACAAATTGTGAACACAAGTGAAGCTTAAATATCAATCAATTTTCACGTTCCACTCTTCGTCTCCCTCATCATCATCTTCTTCAATGTATTGATCAGTTTCAACACCAACAACGGAAAACCAATGAGATTTCCTGTTGATATCTATGAGAGTTGCAATTGATTCACAAATTTCTCCAGGTACAGAAAAGGATTTCCCATTGATCAGATAAAAGATAATCAAGATACTGATGAATACGAAGCTTAATCATTAACATTGATTCTCATTTCGTTTTCGATTGTCACAAATTGGTGATAAACTCTCTCTCTCTCTCTCTCTCTCTCTCTCTCTCTCTCTCTCTCTCTTGTTTCCTTTGCAGTTTGGTGAGACTTTCATGTTGGAACCGGAAATCTGTCGATTCATAGATTGTGGTGAAAAGGAAGAGAAAAAGTTATCACCATGAACATGAGAAACATATTCATTTGTTTCCGTTTCCGTTTATCTTATTTTTGTAGAAAAAGTTAAAATCAGAAATTTCTCTTCCTTAATGAAAATCATTTAGTCATCAGATTGTCATTGATTGTCATTGTGGTGACTATCCATGAACTTAATTGTTTCAATATGCTCCGATTCATCCATTTAATTAAGTTAAATAATTATGTGATAATTGATTGCTTTATGTTATCTTGACGATTAAACTAAATTGTTCAAGCTTATTATTCAACTTGAGTTGATAGTTGATAGTGTAACCATTTTCAGGGTCCTTGGTGTAATATCTAATCTGATTTAATTGTTAAAACAGTAATTATATTGAACTCTAATCAAATTCTAACATGATTCTCAACTTTATCTAATTTTTTCAGTCTCCAAATTAGTTTATTCAATGAATAAAATAAGAGACTTGAATTTTGATAAGATTCATGATACAATTTCATTACAAATGAGCTGTAACAATTAACTAATAACTCAGTAGTTCAGACTGAATTTATCATGAAATTTTATCCGGATAATTAGTTATTATGATCAGCTGATCATTATCTTAACGATCAATGCTAATTATTGAGAGCGATGATGAATTAAGGTTTGACTAATCCAGAAGTCTATTAGTTAATTGGTTTGGATTTTAATATTTCCCTTGATAAATTGGGATATTTGAATGTAAAATTAAACTTTAATTAGCTCTGACAACCATTAATTGTCAATAGTATTATAATACCATTAACATGATGTTCAAATTAATCAATCATTTGATAATATCCATCAATAAACAATTCAATTAAATATTCAAGTAAATCAACTTGAATCAAATTCGTAACAATAAATTAACTCACAGCAACAATTAACTGACTATTCAAGTGGTAATTTCAATCTAATCAAAGTTTGACAATTAGTATATTGAAATTAATTAACTTTGAATATCTTTTTCATACTTTAATCAAGTAGCAGAAATAATTAATCATCTTAATCAACAATTATTACTTAGATTGATTGATTGATTGATTGTTATAGTTAAATTGTATTAGAAAAACAATTAAAAGCAAAGTGTTGACACTAAAGCATAGAAATCAATTGATTTGAAAATGAAATTAATTAGTTAACTAACACAAATCCATGGCAATTGACAGGGTTAATTGATGAATAAATTGTTACAATCAAGGTAACAATTGATTATAAAAGTAAATCAACTCTACTATAGTATGTTGATCATTTCAATCTCAACTGAATTAATTGAATTATGGTGATGAAAAATTGAGCTTAGTTGATGATATTTACATAAAGGTATTCATATAATGAGAATCAATTCTCAATGTTTATATTAAATTACAGGGAATGAATTTAAACCTGATCATGATTAGATTCAGTTCTAAGAGATAACCAAATGATTATAAGATGGAAACAATTATAATAATCATCATTACCAAACCTGACAATCAACTGAATCTTAATGATAACTGATTCTGAAAATTTTTCCTTCTCATCAGCTCATTAATTTAATGAACACAATGAGATGATAAATGTACAGATTTAATTACTATTCTCAGAATATTAATCATCGTAATTTTCATGATATAACAATCACTCTGATCATGGTTAATAATTTAGTTTATTTTTACTCTTTTTTTGGTTAATATCATGATTATCATTCATTGAAATTGAATTTAGTTATTTAAAAAGTTTTTTTCTCTTCTTGATTATTTTGCATGAGAAATTGAATTTAATCAAGTTGATATTTATTATTTTCATTAATGAAAATGGTGACATTTGAGTGACAAGGGAAAATAATGCCAAATATTATTATTGTTTTTACTTTCTCAATGAATATTTTTCTTTCAATAGTTATCCTCATGATGTTCTGATTGGGTTATGAACTTTTCATGTTTTCCTCTCTTCAACTGAATTAAAGTATTATATTAACTGAGATACGATTAAGGATTCGTAAGTAAGTTCAATGATTTATTTGGAACTTTTTTAGTCTTATTATTTCCTGGTTTCAACTTTATCTCTTTTCCACCCATCATGAAATGTTGAAAAATTGATGAGTTTTTATATATTTTTTAAAGAGATAGAAAGTTAGAAAATCAAAGAGAAATAATTGTTTGGGGAATATGAGGTTTTCTCAGACAATATCGATAGTTTATCCTTTTCATCAAGTTTCCGTTTCCGTTTGTAACATTTTTCTTAAATTTCTCACCTCTCATGAAGATTTTGGTTCACCAGACTGTTATTGATCCTCTTTTTAGTGACTATTAGGTAGCTTAATTGTTTCAAAATACAAACTAATTGGTGTTGATTGATGAAGAGTTTGTTTTATTTGAAATGTTTACTGAGCACAATTATCAAGATCAGATTGTTGATTAATGATAACGGTAAATAGTAATCCTAAAATACATGAGCTTTATATGTTTGATAACTATTTAAACATCTCAATGATTATTAGATAGTTTTCTCAGTTAGTTTTATTTAGCATTTTTTATCATAAGCAACATCATTGAACCAATATCAAGAATAACTTCTGGAGCAAAGTTATCATTCATGATAAGATATATGTACTATTTTTACATCATTTAAAAAATAAATTTGTCTTAAAAGAGATTGTAAAATCAAAGCATTTGATAAAAATTGGGTCAATATCATCTTGAAGATCGGACTCATGAATCGTTCTTGTAATTTTATTGATGTCTAGAGGAATTGAAGGATGACAATGTAAAGGGAAGAAAGTTTTCATATTATGTTCGGTAGAACCGAAGACCTTATTTATGAATAAGATGATAATCCTCCAGGCAAAGTTGTGCTCAAGCTACGAGGATTCTGCAGGACGTTTTTTATCAACTAAAGCTATTTTACTCAATATCTTAAGAGCTCAAAAACATGTCAAGGTCAAACTGGACCAGAAGGAGTAAACTGTATTGGAACGTTTAACCTTTCGAGCTCACAGGTCATTGCAGCCACTCCCCGAAGAATACATTTAGAAGTCATTTGAAGGTCATATGTAAAGTGCTCATCAAAATATCCGGACTTTTAATAGATTATGATGAATGCATTTAAAGGCAAATATGGCAAATATGTCAAACTTTGTGAACAAAATTTGGTGACTCTAAAAGCTCAGATGACTCTATTGGTTGGTTGAAACAAGGTAATCAAGGCTATGCTATTGGTTAATTTCGCTTCTATTATATCAAATCCAACAAAGTAATCGACATTCAAACGATTACATGAGTTACAATAATCAAACTATGAAATTTTATCCGCGTTTTATCAGAAAGCTAGAACTGGCTCGATTTACCTATGCTACTCTGTGATATTGAAATATTTTATCAGAAATGATCGATTACCACTTAGGACTATCACGTTTAATTATCGAAGTTCGCATTTCGTCATTCGAATGTGACATTGAACACTTGAAAGAACGCAAAAATTATTCACATGACGAAAAAAAAAAATGACCGATTTTAAGGTGAAATAAATATTCCTCAGTCGGGTGAATTAAATGTAGAATTGATTTTGGAATTCTGACAACCATGAAGAAAGCATTTTGCATAATTTAGCAACTTTTTTTCTACACTTGAAGATATTTTTTCTATCATATAATATGTTACAGATGAACTTTTAATATTCATGATTTTCCATGAATAATCATGATAATCATTATATCACTAGTTTTGTGTTAAAGTTATTAATTCAATTTATACTTTATAATAACTTTTCTAGCTCAAACAATTACAATTTACGAACTTGAAACTTGACTTGAAATAATATCAGAACTTTTTCTTGATTTTTCTCACCTCAATTTCAATTCCAAAGTTCCAGCATTTATTTAGTTCACTAGCTATTTTTAGTTGGATATTTTTTCAGTCTCTCAGCCAATATCAACAGATCGACCATGAAAATGAAACTCAATGATACAAAAGCGATTTTGTTTCACATTATCAATGACAAAATAGAGGAGGAAAAAGTTGTGATTCAGATTCTGAAACTTTATCTTGTCTGGTGATTTGTAATCACTTTTAAAATCAGAATTAGATGAATGGAATACAGTTGAAAACATTACTCATGGTCACTGAATATTCACTGACCATTACTTATCATAACACAAAGATTACCATTGAAATTGTGATTGTATGGATAATGTAAATTTCCAATACCATGAGTGATTCTCAAATGGTGATGATGATCATGATTTACATGGGGGAGAAAGTTCCAAAGAGATCAAAGCAACAAATTCACTTTTTCCCCTCACCAGGGTAACAATTATAAATCAATAATATGGAGTTGATTGTTGGACATCAAATGATGTAGCAAATATTAGTTGGATTAAGTGGAGAGAGAGAAATTTTTCTGTTCTTTTTCTTGATAAATATATTGACAGAATCAATCATGATGATGATAAATCAAATTGATGGATCAAGATGATGATCATGATGAAGAGGTTTATGTTATTAAGATATGAAACATGATCAAGATTAAGGATGAAATCGTTGAATAAGATGTTA